CTGCTTCTTGTGGTTCAGAAAAGCATGAGTAGTTTAAAAGAACACGGAGCCATGGAGGGCAATGAACAGAGCACCTGTAGTGCACTGGGGTAGTATGAGTTTGCCTTTTCATATATGTCAACTTTTTGTACTGTGAATTTTAAACAAAGATACACTAACATGGTGCCAACCAAATAAAAGTCACTGGAAGTACAGGTGTCAGGATTTTTATTTTTTTTTTCTCCAGGGTTGGTGCAAGATTTGCTTAAACTCCTGTTTTTATACTAAGACAACAAAGAGGACAAGCCCGTTTAATTTCAGGGGAGCACTTATGGCTTTAGAAAGCCTCTCCAACTCATAAATTTAGAATGCTTAATGGGCTGCTCAACAGCATAAAAACATTTGTCTATGAGGACAATTTCCCTTAGAGTTTAAGCAACCTTTGTAATTGTGGAGTCTTCAGCTTTTAAAATAATTTTTCCCCCCAGTCATTTGGGTCAGAGAACCTTGCTCAAGAAACTGAAAATGCTTAGTACTAAAATTATAAAAAAAAATATCTCAGAATGCATAGAAGAAACATTCTGCCTGACAGCAGAGCCTGGTATGCACAGTTGGTGTGCTTGATAAAGAGCCACTGCTTGTTCTCATGTCTCATTTTGAGCTACATTTCCTTTCCTGTTAGCAGAATCTGTAGCCTGAGGTTACTGCCAAGCAAGCAAAAATTCCCAGTAGAGAAATTGAGAACAGTGATATTGGTTCACATCAAGGTCCTCCCTGTCTCCAACAGTTGCCGTTTACAGATACCTAGGGAAAAGTGAGGACAGGACACGCCTGTGTAATAATTCCCTGAGGCTCTCCCAAACTCCATGCATTTAGGGGAGTTTAGGGGGATTGTATTAACTTGGGATTTATATACTTGATAACCACCAGTGCACATCTTTTCCAAGCACTTCTCCACTCTATCCTCGTCCCAATATCTTGCATAAATACTAAGTATCCTTTGGCAAATACCTATACCAGCCTTATGTGTCACCTCCTTTGAATCTGCCTCCCAGAACAGTCACTGCAGCATCTCCTTGATCCCACAGAGACGCACACACACCACAGAACTTGCTCGTCTAAGGGCAAGAAAAGGAGGCTTTGGGGTTTAAGCGTGTTTTTAATTAGCCACTTTCAAGTATTTAACCACCCCAGGGGGGCCCAGCTCAGGGGGGGTGAGACCCAGCGAGGGGCTCCTGTCCTGCCAGGGCCCAACAGGCCTTCCAGGACACAGGCTGCTGCCTCTAAACCGTCCCTCCCACAACTCTGGAAACGGAACAAGGTGAATTTAATGCCTGTTTTATATGTACTTAATAACTATATATATATATTCATGTAGATGACTAACACTTAGACAACTCACGTTTTTCTAGCAAGTTCCCGCCGCTGTTCCTGAAGGCAGAGCAGCTTACTGCAGCCTGTCACTGACGGTACACACTGGATACCTCAGCACTTCTACAGTGTTGTAATTTTAGCCTCACAGGCGGTGCTTTTTTGCCCATTTTAGCCGGGCAGGGAGAAGGGAAGGGCCGGGCCCCCCCCCCAGCGCCGCCGCCTCAGGCTCCGCGGAGAACAAAGCCCCCCTCAGCTCGACGCCTGATTGGCTGGCCGCAGTCACATGACCCGGCCAGCCAATGACGTGTCAAAGCCGGGGAGGGGTCGGGGCAGCGTGGCCGGTGGGTCTGGGGGGGCTCGGAGGGTCTGGGGGCTCCTTGGCCCTCAGCTCCCCTTGTCCCCAGCAGCCCGGCCCCGGCCTCACTCTGCCCACACGTCGCCGGCGGCTGCAGGCCCTGGAGCTCCTCCCGAGAGGAAATTCAAACCGGTGCGGGGAAAGCCAGGCTTTGCTTTTGTACCATCTGTTTTTTGTTTAAAGAAAAAGGGTCTGCTCGGCGCAGCAGAGCCCAGCACAAAGCGAATCCGTCGGGTGTTGGAAATCCGCTGGCCAAAATGACACGCAAATCCGTTATCTTTCAGTCCCGAGTTTTATTTTAGCATTGCAGCTTTCTCTAAAAGGGATTCAACTCCTGAATCTTCACAACAAGAGACATAAAAAGTGCCTTTTTAAGAGGACTTTGCAAGATGAGGCCCTGCCTCCAGAGGTGAGGCACTTGTAGCATTGACAATTAAAAAAACTAGGCAGGTCAGGCCAGCAGGACCTTCCCTGTGCTCCTCTCACACTTAAATGCCAAGTAATGCACCTTGGCTGTCCTGCAATTGAAATAAAAACACTCTTAATTACTTTTGATTCATTTCTATTCAGTGAGCTGAAGTTCCATAATTCTTTGCCATGAGTCTGTATTGTCCTTTTTAAAGGAGCAAATGGCAGGGGAGAGGAGTCAAGTGCTTTTTTAAAAGAAAAGAATCAGCTTTCACAAGAGCTGGAAGTGAACCCACCCAGACCCCTGCATCCCTTGGCCACCTACTTTTCAGTGATAACAGGAGCTATTAGGATTCCAGGGTCACATGCTTTAGGATTTCACGTGGAAATTTATTTACAGCCATTCAGCACCACCTGCTGGCATGACTTTTTTTTTAAAAAAAACCTCTAGGAAGTGTGGTGGTTTGGGTTTTGAGTTGGTGTACTTTCTTAGGTGTACATTAAGCCTGATGCACTGCAGACATTTTGGACCTTGTCTGTAATATGGAGGAGGGATGTCACCTCATGTCAGAACACTTAAAATCATGCAGATGAAGATCATCTCCTGACACCCTACCAAAATATAGTATTTTAAATAGCAGCCCCACTAATTTCCCTATTTAGTTCCCATCAGCCTTCAACAGCTGCCTACTGCCATTCCTGAGAGACTTTCAACCCTTACAACTCACCACCACATAAACCCCAACTAGTTCATTTTTTCCTGGCATGCAGGTGTTTCTCTGTCTCCCCATCCTGAAGTCAAAACACAGGCTGACATTCCCCCCAGTTATTCCTTCAATTTATGACATGAATCGGCCAATTCCTTAGTTCCTTCCTCAGGAATTACAGTTTTCAAGAGACTTTTGCCAGCTGGTGACAAAGTATCCACTCGGATCCACACTTTTCTTGCTTTAAATATCAATGATGACAAAGACTTCTGGCTTTTCATCCTCACAGATCTGCATTGCTGAGTAAGTTATGGCTTTCACCTCTGTGCCCTGGAGAGAAAAAGACACAAAAAACTGTATTTTCTAAACTACATCCTCCATAGCAGATCATGTTACCACTGTTAAGTACCCAGTACTTCCCACCTTTTACAAATGCTACCCAGTTTCATAGTTTTTCTCCCCAAAAAGCTGTATTTGTTCAGATGAGTAAGAAAAACTGGCATACTTGGCCAGGCCAAATAGTGGCTTAGTGTCTCTTCCCTTATTTTATTGCCTTTTACTGTACAAAATCCTCCTCTCACTTCTGACATAATAGCAACATTCCCTGTGCTAAGACTGACCCAGCTGGTGTGGTGAGAAGGATTTGCTTCTAGTCCTTCTTTAGGAGGACAAAAATAAAAGGTAGTAACTAAGCAAAAAGCTGTGAATAGTGTGAAAACCAAGCCCAGTTAAACATGCTGAATATCGACTGGTTTACAGTGTCCTCAGCATCACAAAAGGAAAGGCAACTGTTGAGTTGTGAGGAAGCATCAGATGCTTGGATCAATAATTTCAGAATTACAAAAAAAACCCAGGTAAAAAGACCTTAAGGTTAGTGCCTGTGGTCCCATCCAGTGTTTATCCTGGGAGCTCTTGAGGACTCCAGAGATGTTTATTTAAAGACACCACCCCCCTCCCCACAATGCACAAAATTCACAATTTACAAAAACCACTGCATACCTGAGGGTGTTTGGGTAAAGAAAATTCTTCTCCCCACCTTTAAAAAAACACAGAAGAGAGGTGGTTGGAATTTTGGTAATATTGATCAAATGTTATAATTAGTTTCACAGATGAGCACAGAACAGTGAGATTTTAATGTAAAGCTTTGAAGGAAGAAAAAAAGAAGCCCCAAATCAATTTTTAGAAAGCATCAGGGAACTCCAGCACATCAACAGTATTTCAAAGTGGTTACTCTGAAAGCAACATGTAAAGGTATTAATTAAATCAACTGATCATTTAAGCTCACCCAATTGATCTTATTTTGAATTGCATTCGATCAATGTGAAGCACTTTCACCTCCTGCAAAGAAAGCCAGAGAAGAAATCTGTCAGTAACACCAGAAATTCTCAGTAAATCCCATTTATGAGGGTTATACTCCACTGTTTTAAGTGGAATCTAAAGGGAATTTGAGCAGCCTCAAAGAGATGCACTGCTACTTGGAACACAAACTGTATAATGGCAGGAAACAATTAGTGTTTGAGGTAACAAAGCTTAACAATTTGTTTCTCAAGCCTTTCTGGCCTGATATTTTCAGTTCTCCAGGTGTTGTGCTTCAATGTTCTGTTGTGTTCCTTTTTTTCCTATAATAACTTTGCATTCTGAGCTGGTATTATCAAAGAATAGTCTTGACCTGCAAATGGAGAAAATGACCCAAACAAAACACTTACCCTGGGTATAAAGAACTCATTAGCACTGAATTTATACAGCCACTCATCCAAGAAGTGGAAAAGAAGAGACAACATGTCATGTCCTGGTGGTTAAAGCAGAGAAGATCATCAGTTGAGGGTCTCAGCAAGAACACCCAAACATTTTAAAGAGCAGGTCAGATGTACAGCTTCTGTACTATTAGAAGACCCAGATCAGGGATGTTTAATTAGATTTTAATTAACTGCAACAATGCTACATGTAAAGATTCAAAATGTTGGCACCATTCTCCCTCAAGATTCATGGAGTTCCAATATAAAAAGCCAACACAGCCTCACCTTCTGCCTCTACCTCCACTGTATCCACAGGCTCCACGGTCTCTGTGTCAGTCATGTAGCCAAACATGGCCATGACACACTGCTCAAATGCTTCTTCCAAAGTGTCTCCCCAGGCATGTAGCCTAGAAACAAATGGGAATATTCACTAAACCATAACAAAAATTAATAAAAATCCCCAAAGTATTATGCAGGTGAGAAATCAGAACAAGAGAGTTCATGTAGAGGGAGTGAATTAACAAAAATACTTCGTTTTTTTACATCTATGTATTTGGGCAGATCACAAGAGATTTTCCTTCTTGCAGTTTGTATGAAGAGTTTCTTAGGAGAATATGGAGAACAAATGTTTTACCAAACAGGAAAGCTCCTGGAGGTGTTTAAGGCCAGGCTGGATGAGGCTTTGTGGAGCCTGGTCTGGTGGGAGGTGTCCCTGCTCATGGGACCTGATGATCTTTAAGGTCCCTTCCAACATTCACCATTCTATGATTCTGTTATTTTCCTTCTTAATATGGGTAACTGCTGTCTATAAAAGTGAACTACTCAGAAGCTTGATTTAAAAGGAAGAGGTTAAAAGATGATTTGGGAATTTTCAAATACCAGAGGTACAGCAGCAGCACCAGAGGAGTATTACATGAGAAAAGAAAACAAATGTGATCCTATTGTCTCCCAAAAGCAGAAACAAAACTGAGCTCAAAAAAACCCCAGTGTGTGACATTTCCTAGTTCTGTAGGGTGAACATCTGCAAGCAGTTTTCAACAGGTCCTCCAGATTTACATCAGTGAGAGAAACAATCAATCTGTCATACTGAGAAATCCCAGCTGCCCATACTTACTGCACATCTGCTGTGTGATCCAGATCTGAGGAGGAAGGGAAAAGAAAAGGCATGACATCACCAAACATGTTGTAAAAATCAGGATTAACACCCAAGGAATTCAGGTATTGTTGCTGTAACAAGAACTTCTTGCCATTAATTTTCAGATGACAGACAGTGATAATCTATTCTCCAGAATATCAGGAAAAGTTATCACAGTGGAATGTTGGATTATTTCTACCAAGCAGAGAAACAGTGTTTAATGTCATCATGCCAGGGCCCTACCTGCAGAACAGGCTTCTACAAGTTAACTGCAATAAAGAGAAACTTTAACCAGGAGTCAAGAGTTTTTGCTGAAGTCTGCAGGACTGAAAATTATTCATGCAGAGGATGAGATTTGCAAATATTTCCAGCTCAGCAAAGAAATCGACCTGTCCACACCCCAAAACACCCATTATGCAAACAGAATTTAAAAAAAACAACCCTACATAATACAAAATAGAAGGCAATCTTCACTAATAAAGTAGGATTAACTTCCCAAGCATGTATCAGATTTTCCATGAACATCATTTACATTCATTTAGAGGAACAAGAAAGATGCAAAATTACACCAGGTTGGCAGAAACAGAGCTAACTTGGGATGTACAATAAATGCCACACTGTGATAACTGTAACTGGAAGGTTGTTCTGATGCTGTTTAGATCATTCACACACCATTAATGGATTCCCAACAACAGTCTCTAAAGCAAACAAATTCCAGTGGAGATAAAAGAAGGATAAAACCTCTTCCAGAAATGGTAACAGAGTGACTATTGCAGTATGTCACCATATTCCTGCACTGCTATCAAATAAAGATCTGAACGTTTCCTAAAAATATATATTCTAACAGAGCAGCAGACACTGTCCTGGCTGAAATAGAAAACAGACACTGACTGGTCTCCTGTCAGCACCTGAAGCCCTTGGGCTGCCACCCACTTGCTTGACATCTTCTTAGAAGACATTCCAGGGGTGGGGAAAGGGAGGGATAATGATCTTTTAGAAAGGCAGATAGGAGAAAAAAACGCCACACAGCAAATCAACACACTCTGGAACATCAATTCCTGTATAAAAGAGGTAGAACCATGTGCTGCCTCGCTCAGAAACAGCTTGAAAGGGGGAAAGTTTTCCAAGGGAGACTTAACTAATTTCTATAATGATTTATTTAGCACCCATAACAACAAAGGCGTTTATCTGAGATAAAGAAATTCTAAGTATCTCTGTTAACTCAACTACAGCTTAAACACACACAGTTCCAGCATATTAAGAAACTCCATGTGCCTAAAAAGCCACTTCCTTCCCCTCCTGCCCCCTCCCCACTGCCCTGTCACACGCACGCGGTACCACCAGTGTTAAAAACCACTCACATTCGTATTTCTTGTTGAGGGGTGGGTACTTGGCTTTGATGGCCTTCTGCTCCTCCGTCAGGTTGTAATCCCTCTCGTCTGCTGCCATGGCTGCCGGGATGAGCTCCCTGGCTTCCTGGGGCAGGACACACGCCCCGGAGAGCTGCGGTAGGAACGGGAGAACCGCCTCTCAGCTCGGTCTTCCCACTCGGCAGCAGTTTGGTGACAGGCTCTGGTGTTTAAAACATGATATTAAACGCATGTTGTTTGCTGTCAGAACCGAGTCCAACCCTCCACCACTTGCCTCTAACCGATACATCACGTTCAGCCCCTGAAGCCGAGTCCTTCCAGGAAGCACCGACCCTTCCAGGAAGGAGTTTCCTCCCCCGTGTTTTGGGCACCATCAAGCATTTCACTCCTCCCCAAGAACAAAATACCATAATAAAGAAAAACGATGAGCCCACTACAGAGCAAGCTGACATCTGCATTGCCTCCAAACCCCAAGGTGTGGCAAGAAGATTTGTGGCCTTCTATGTGATTTTTCTTAAGGAAAAATAAGTCTGGTTTTCTCTTAGGAAGGAACTACATTTAAGGCTTCAACCCTAGAAGCACATGCATGGCAGATAGGATCTGTCACCCAAGTGCAAGGGTTTTATGTGCATCTTTTCTCACAGAATGTCTTTTAAAAACTGGAAAACAGATTAGCTTCAGACTAATTAATTTCCTTCAGCCTGGAGCTTCCCAGATCTCCAGGTACAGTTACCATTCCTTGCTCTTTCTTAGTGTTTTTGTGCATTACATTATTTATTGACAGCTGGGCCCAAGGCTTCCACAAATAATGTGAACGAGAGATTATAGCTGGCACATAAACACCATCAGGACTGCTTTGAAACAGGAGTGGTTCTTACTCTGAGACTACAAAGGATGGCCAGTTCCTATTTTCAGGTAAGCACCTAGGGATGTTGCAAAGTCTGAAATTGAGAAGCCAGCGCTGCTCTGAGGGGATAAACCCGGATGAACACACGCTGGGATGTGAAAGCTGCTCAGCCTTGCCTGCGGATGGTCACAGCTCCACAGCTGGTCACGCCACGTCCCCCAGGGCAGGCCACGCAGAACCAGCTGCATCCCAAGCAGGGCTCACTGCTGCACTGCGTCAGGGAAAAAGAAGGGCAGTTATTAGCGATCATAAACAATTAACAACCCAAGAAGACGCTGAGGGTTCCCCATTGGGGGGGGCCGCGAGGCCCAGGCCGCAGCCTCCCACACGCACCCACTCGGTCCCGACGCGCCCGCGGCGACCGGAGGAAAAAATCCTTCCCTCTTCCAAACCGGGGCCTCACCCCACCCCCCAAACCGCCCCCAGCGCCGTCCCCCCGGGCCGCCCCCG